TCCACAGCCTCTGGCACTCGAAGCTCCCGGGCTGCCAGGAGCACCTGATCCCGGTTCCCCGATGTGAGGGCGAGGTGACCAGTGTAGAAAAAGTCCAACAAGAGGCCAAAAATCTCCGCGAAGCCAGCAGGGAGGACAACACTGCCCCCTGAGCCATCCCCATAGAGGCTCTGGAAGAAGTGGCTGCAGCAGGCAAGGACACTCCAGTGTGCCTTGAACACCAGGCCCCCCACGTCCAGGGTGGCGTCGCAGTACTGGCCCTTCTCCCGCTGCTTGTTGAGCTCCTGCAGAACCCTCACACTGTGCTGAATGAAGGAACCGTCCATGATCTGTCCGGAGGAGAGGAAGGCAGAAATAGTGATACCCTGGCTAGCCCAATCCAGGAGCAAAAGAGAAAGCCCTTGGATTTGAGAAGAGGGAGAGGGGAGGTGGCCGCTACTTAGCCATATTTACCACGAGGGTTCAGGTCAAAATTAGAGTGCGCATGCTGACCCAGGAACAGACAGAAAGCCTCCCGGGGGGCGGGGGTCTGGGGAGCAGCCCATATTAGGGTTGGCCAGAGAGTGGGTGGCGGGGGTGCAAGGGGACCAGGTGGGGGGAGCAGGCACGGCTTGCTGGGAGACAGGGCAGGGTCGTCAAGGGGCGCTGATGGAAGGAATTAAAGTTTGGGGAAAGAGGCAGCGGATCCGCACGAACTGATGGGCCTGGCACAGCGAGAGGACCCGTGGCAGGGGAGGGCGGAGGCCGCGGACAGGTGCGCGAAGCCCACGCCGCTCCCACACGTCCCCAGCCGCTGGACGTGAGGCGCCTGCGGTCACACTCCGCCTGCGCTCACAGCGGCCCGCAGCCCTCCCCCCTCTCTCCCCGCGCCCCGCGCTTCTCACCGGGGCCGGTCCTCCCTGCGCCGGCCCGGCGGTTCCCGACGTGTGCACTTCGCAGCCCCACTAGCCAACTGCCCGGGCGGTACGTGCCCAGCCGACCGTACGGAGACGCCGCCGTCGCCACCGCCGGACGTGACGTCAGGGCGCGCCCGCCGGGACCGAACACCTCGAAGGCGCAGGGCTTTAGCGTCAGCGCTTGGGGGCGGGGCCACGAAGAAAACGGCCAATGGGGAGTGATAAGAAAAGGGGCGGGCCCAGGACGAGTTCTTTCGGCATCGGGCCCGCCTCCCGGAGTTGCCTAGCAACGTCAAGCTGGGCTCCCGGTTTTCGCCAGGCTCTCGCGGAGTCCCCAGGTGCCCCCTGCGATTTACCCACCTCGGCGCTTTCGGGCTTGAAGAGGCAGCGTTCCTCCCTCGCCCAGACTGCAAGCGCAACCCAGACGCACATGTCACTTCTTTTTTTTAAATCCTAACTCGAGGATATATTTATTTATTTTTCTTAGAGGAAGGGAGAGAAAAACAACCATGTGAGAGAGAAAAATCTATCTGTTGCTTCCCCACTCTGGGGATCAAACTCACAACTTTTTGGTGCCTAGGAGGACACTCCAACCGACTGAGCCACCTGACCAGGGCACATGTCACCTCTTCATTGGTAGCCTGGAACCCGGACTGGGTTCTTCAGTGTGCTTACATTTCCTGTGCCAAGAATGAGGTGCCAAGAGGTCTCTGGGGAGGGCCATAGCCTGGTAGCTCTGCCCACATGCCAGTGAGGCTATGATCAATAGGAGCAGCCAGCCCCAAGGAAAAGGCATTTGTACCTCTCTCTCCAGCACTTGAGCTAAGCAAACCCACCTTCCTGAGCTGCCTGTTTTCTCTGAGTTGACTGAGGACAAAGGAGATGCATTCCCACACCCACAGGGATAGTAAAAGGAAAGAACGTGGCCCCTGGAGTCCAGCTCTGAGCTGAGCCCTTGCTACCTCAATTTGCTTTCTGAAACTTAAATTTACACCGCTGAGCAGAGTATGCTCTTTCCTTCTGCTGCAGACATGCTAGTATCTGCATCTGAGCCAAGCTGTTCTAGGTACTAGCTGTCTTCAGCATGGACAATTGAGGGATAGCACCAGAATATACAATGAGAACATAGCTACATCTATTTGGATAAAGAGGTTAAATTTAGGGTAAGATTGTATCCGTAGGAGTTGAGTTGGGAGCAGTCTAATAAAGGACAAGGTTGGCCTGGGGCTTTCAACTGGTTGTTTCTTTCTGAGTTATTAGAATTGTCTGGTGGCAGATAGCCTCCAACCTGTACCTACCTTGCAACAAAGCGACTGAGGTCCTGGTTCTGGGGTCGGGTGCGCACAAGTGTAGCCCCAAGGAGGTCCTTTCACCTGCTGTACAGATCTCAGGAATTCTAGATTGTTTGCCCATTCGCTTGGTCTCTCACCACTTTTCTTTTAAATGTGTTTATTGATTTCAGAGAGAGGAAGGGAGAGGGAGAGATAGAAACATCAATGCTGCCTCCTACATGACCCCTACTGGGAATCAAGCCCACAGTTTGGGCATGTGCCCTGACTGGCAATTGAAATGGCAACCTCTTGGTTCATGGAACAATGCTCAACCACTGGGCCACACCAGCCAAGCTCTCGCCATTCCTGTTGAGGAAGGTCTGGGCTTCAAAGGGCACACACTCAAAGCAACAGCGGTGGAAACCCACAGTTGCTCGCTGGTGCCCTTCAGGACAGTCACTGGAGCACACAGACGAGTTACCTGCAACAAGCCACAGGTGTTTTGTACTGCATGGAGGGGCCCAAGTCAAGGGACACTGACACACGCTTGAAAAACAGAATCTGGCCTGGCTGGTGTGGCTCAGTAGACTGAACATTGTCCATAGACTGAGAGGTCCCAGTTCGATTCCCAGTCAGGGCACATGCCGGGGTTGTGGGCTCGATTCCCAGTTTGGGGCAGAGGGGGAGGGGGCATGCAGGAGGCAGCCAAAGTTTCTCTCTCACATCGATGTTTCTACTTCTCTGTAAAAAAAATTCGATAAAAACATAAAAAAAAAAAAAAAATCTGTGTATTTGCCCAGTGGCTACTGGGCATCTGTCTAGTTGGCTCTGGAGCTTCCCTGGCAGGGCTGGGTAGAGCCATGGCAGCCCGATACCTGGGAGCCCTCCTGCCCATGTAAACTGTGTCAGCATTGCCCCGTGGCTCTGGGCTGCCCTAAGGCAATCACTGGTGAGTGACAGGTCCCCATTACCTGGCTGTCCTTTCCATGCCACTGGGTTTTGGTCTTATTTATGTCCAGACAAACTGGGAACCACGTGGAGGAGTTGATGACCCTGAAGGTACACTTGGGACCACTCCAGACCCACGTAATTATGTTTTGTGCCGGGGGAAAATAAAAACCCTCTTTGCCAGTTTTAGAACTTTTCATCTGGGCCTCAGTTTGCCCAATGAGATATGACTTTAAGTTGACCTGCCTTCCTCCTAGTTCTCAGTTTTCTGACACTGAAATTCTGAGTGAATTATTGTGGTTATACAGGGTTGTTCCCTTCAGCCCAAAGACAAATGCATGCAGCCCTGGCCAGTGTGCTCAGTAGTTAGAGTGTCTGCCCACACACCGAAGGTCTCAGGTTCAATTCTGGTGAAGGGCACGTACCTTTGCACGGGAGGCAACCAATCAAATTGATATGTCTCTCACATCAATGTTTCTCTCTCTTTCTCCTTTCTTCCCTTCCACTATGTCTAAAAATCAATGGAAAAATATCCTAAGGTGAGGATTAACAACAACAACAACAACAAAAAGACAAATGTATACTGCCAACCAGTGCGGCTCAGTGGTTGAGCATCAACCCATGCACCAAGAGGTCACCAGTTTGATTCCTAGTCAGGGCACATGCCCAGTTTGTGGGCCAAATCCCCAGTGCGGGGCATGCAGGAGGCAGCCAATAGATGTTCTCTCTCTCTGTGCCTCTCCCTTCCTCTCTATCTAAAATCAATAAAGAAAGAAAAAATTGCCCTGGCCGCTTTGGCTCAGCCCATGGATCAGTGAGTTGAAGATTGATTCCGGCCAAGGGCACATCACCTCGGTTTCGGTTCATCCCCGGCTCTGGTCGGGGTCATGCGGGAGGCAGACAATCGATGTATCCCTCTTTCATCAATGTTTCTCTCTCCCTTTTTCCCTCCCACTCTATCTGAAGATAAATAGAAAAATATCCTTGGGTGACAGTTAAGATAAAATAAAAAGACAAATGTATGCAAACAGAGGGTATGCAAATAGATGGGTTTTGTTTAAATCCTGGAGCTTTTTGCCCAGGCCGGTTTGGTTCGGCGGTTAGAGCGTAGGCCTGCAGTCCAGAGAGACCCGGGTTCAGTTGCCACTAAAGGCATGTACCTCAGCTGCAGTTTGTTCCCGGCCCTGATTGGGTTGTGCGGGTGGCAGCCACTCGATGTGTCCCTTTCACATGGATCTCTATCTCTCTCCCTCATTCTCCCTCCCTTACTCTATCTGAACAAAAAATAGAAAAATGTCCTCAGGTGAGGATTTAAAAAAAAAATCCCGGAGCTTCTCCTGCAGGAAAAATGATCCCAGCCCAGTTTGTGTGGCTCAATGGACCCATGGACTCAGAGGTCCCGGTTCCATCCCAGTCAGGGCACAAGCCTGGGTTGCCGTCTCTAACCCCAGTAGGGGGCGTGCAGGAGGCAGCCGATGGTGGTTCCTCTCTCACCACGTCCATGTTTCTATCTCTCCCTAAAAAAAATCAATAAAATATACTTTTTTTTTTTTGTAATAAAATATACTTAAAAAAAAAAAAACTACCCCAGGTGAACGTGGGGAGAGGTGGCTCAGAACTTGGGGTCAGGTCTCTGGCTTCCACCCTGTAGGCGGTCGGGTTGGACTTTTGCATAATATACGTGGGGTCCTCGCAGGCACGTCCCCGGAGCCCCCGCAGGCCGGCAGGAGCCTTCTAGGTTGCATCCGAGGCTCAGGTGCGCTGCCGGGACCACCGGCAGAGGGCGCCCGCGGCCTCCGGGCCGTTTCTCTCGTCCGCTCCACGAGAGTGGGGCGGAGCGACGAGACATCGCGAGACTCTCGCTCCGCCCACGCCGGCGGCCAGCATGGCGGACGTGCCGCAGCTGCAGAAGCGGGCGTCCTTCCGCTCCACGTGGACTCGAGTCCGTAAGGCCCGGCCCCAGCTCATCCTCAGCCGCCGGCCCCGCCGCCGGCTCCGGCTCCTGCGCTGGTGCGGCCGAAGGCGCCTGCGGCGGCGGCTGCTGCAAGCCCAGGCGGCCGGTGCGGACTGGCGGGAGGGCAGCTGGCCGGGGTCGCGCGCGGCGGCGGCCCCGAGGCCCAAGACCGCGACCTCCAGCCCAGCCCCTGTCCCGGTGCCCAGCCGGGCCCCCAGCCCGACCTCGGACGAGGACACCGCCCCGAGCTGCACCGCGAGCCTCCCCATCCCTCCCCTGCGTCCGGCCGGCCCGGGCCGCGCGTTGCTGCTGCTGCCGCGGGAGCAGGTGCGTCGCGCGCTGAGAGCCGGGCGGGCAGAGGGGGAGGCGGACACGCAGCCCCGGGGGCCCGGCAGGGGCCGGGGGCCCGCTGCGGGTTCTCCGGGATCCCTCCTGGCCGTGGTGCTGAGCCGCGAGTACGGAGGAGTCTCGGTGCTGTAGGCCTTCAGAGCTGAAAGGGACTTGGATGGTAATGACTGTAATAACAGTTCGCATTTATTGGGTGCTTAGGAACGTCAGGCTCGGCGTGTTCTGAGTGTTTTAGTTGTATGGACCCGTGCAGTACTCCCAGCCCACATGGAGTTATTCCCGCTGTTCTCTGAGTGTTTACAGAGGAAGAAATTGAGTAGTTCTAGCTTAGGTGACTTCCCAAAAGGAACACAGTAGTAGGGTCCGAATCACCGCATCCTGATGGCAGGGCCCCTGCTCGTCACCTGGACTCTGGTCTGGGAGGGCCCCCCCCCCCCCATGCAGGAGGGAAATAGGAACGCAGAGACTTGGCAGGCAATGGGCTTTCTAAGAACAGGGAACAGAAGACAGCAGAGCTGGGTTCCTGGGACCCCCTTGTTTTTCATGTGCCCATGTTCACCAGCTCTCTGTAGCTGCCATGAGATACAGTCTTAGGTCAAAAACATCAAGTACCCGAAAGTCACCTACTGCCGTGTATTCTGTGATTTAGAAGTCTGCCTCCTTTTGTTCATGTGAATAGGAATTAAGGTTTTGGAAAACTTCATTCACTAGGAACAGAATCCGTAATGTTATTTCTTCTTTTCTTTTTCTTTTTTTTTTTTTCCTGCTAGGGTTTTACTTTTAGTGGGATCTGTCGCGTGACTTGCCTTTATGGCCAGGTGCAGGTGTTTGGTTTTACCATTAGCCAAGGCCAGCCTTCCCAAGACGTCTTCTCTACCTACACCCACTCTCGCCTCACTATCAACGCAGTGCATTACTCGATGCCCGAGAAGAGCAAGAAGGAGATGAAAAGGGAAGCCCGAACCTTGCTCAGAGCTCATCTTAACCGGGGTAATGGAAAGACTGGGTAGTTTCCTGAGGACGCACTATGATAAGGCTAATAACTTTTTTGCTTTGTTTTTTCTTTTTCGTTTTTAGGGAGCTATTAACTTTTAGATTTATACTATGGTGTAGACATTGCACCTGTTACTACTTCTGTTTAAACCCTCACAGCCCTGGGGGCTCAGTTGGTTGGAGCATTGCCCTGTACACCAAACGGTTGTGGGTTTGATTCCAGGGCACACACTGTTGATGTTTCTCACATCAATGTTTCTCTCTTGCTCCTTCTCTTCCCCCTCTCTTTCCTCTCTAAGATAAATGAACATATCTTTGGGTGAGAATAATAAAAATAAACCCTCACAAAGGTCCTGAGAGGAGTGAAACTATTGTTTTCACCATTTTACAGGTGAGAAAAGTTGCCCAAGGCCACACAGCTGGTAGGTGGCAAACCTGGGCTGACTTCTCAGCCCAGGTGTGTTCCTGTTATGCAGCTTGACATCCTGAAAAAGGCTCTCAAACATAATTCCTGCCCTAAAAAGTTACAGTTGGGCCAGGAAATGGTAGTCCTAAAGGGCATAGAGTTTAACAGAGTTACCATTTGTAAGGCAGTTTAATTTTCTCTTTACAGATGACAGATGTTGGTTGATGAAGAATTTTTCTCCTCTATGTTCCATTGTGATGCTAGAAAATTTGAAGACCTCCACTGTGAACTTCATAGTCAGCCATCCGGGTTTATCTTACATTTTCCACCAAGAGGTAAACCGGTTTTCATTCAGAGCTTTGCTGATTGGTTTAATCAAAATAGTCATATCAAATGACAGTGTAGGGTGTTCCCTTTGACAGTCAGCCTGTGCTGTGGTGCTGTATGTCCTATCGCTTGTAATACGTGTGTCCAGTAGAAGTAGTCACTGTGGAAAGGTATATCATGAAAAGCACCCCCCCTTGGTTTCATTCTCCAGCAAAAGCCATCATTTCATATTGTAGTTGATTAAATACCTTTTAGTATTTTTTATAATTACTTTTTTCCTTTATTGATTTTAGAGAGGGAGATGGAAACATCGATGAATGAGAACATCGATTGGTCGCCTCCTGCATGCCCCCCACTGGGGATCAGGCCCACAACCTGGGCATGTGCCTTAACCAGAATTGAACTGGTGACCTCTTGGTGCATGGGTTGACGCTCAACCACTGACCCACACCGGCCGGGCTCTTTTGGTATTTTTTAAAATGATTATCTTTGTATCTTGATTTATTAACTTGAGACAGTGTAAGTTTTCTCTGAACTGTGAATGAGTAATTTCGATGTACTTATACTTTCTCCCATCTCTCTTTTCTGACCTGTATATTTTGCTGGCCATGTTGTTAATTTCCTAAAATCAAGTTGTTACTTTAGTTGTCTCCCATGAGCCAATGAATTGAATCTAATCTATGGGATTATTGGACAGACTGAATGGTGAGATAGGAGAAAGAATCAAGGACTAACCAGGCTTTTGGGGCTAAACAGTTGGGTGCTTGGAGTTTCCATTATCTTTTTTTTTTAATCCTCACTCGAGGACATTTTTGCATCCATATTCAGATAGAGCGGGAGGGAGAGAAAGGAAGAGAAAGAGAAACATCAATGAGTTTCCATTAACTTAAATGGGCGCAACTCTAGGTGGGGTGTAGATGTGTTGACTTTGAGACGCCTGTTAGATGTCGAGAGTCTGGAGTTGAGAGAAGTGGGTGGAAATGTCAGTTTGGAGCTTTCTGCACAGGAGGGTTCCCAAGGCCTCGAGGGGGGATAATAAACCAGTGCAGTTGATATCATTAGAAATGGGAAGGGTCCCGTCTGAGCCTGAGGCACTCCCATGACGGAGCTCCAGGAGTCCGAGAAGGTGTGGTCGCTGATGTGTAGACTGAAGGCCTGCTCCCCTGTTTTCTGGAATGCAGGGTTGCTAATCGGAAATCCTAATGCCAGGCCGTCTCTCATTCCTCTTACGACATCTTTATCCTTGAGACTGATGCGATTCTGGGTGGGTCTCTTCCTTGATCCTCTTTCGTTCTGTGGTGTTACTCTATCCCAGCCCCACCTGCTCCCCCCCACCTACTGAGCTCTTGGTTCTGGGGGTGCTTCCCCGAGGCTTCCTGGTACTTCTGCTAGACTGCCATTGGACTTCATGTACCTGCCTGCCACATCCCTTCAGCGCTGTCTGCAGATGTCCTGTCTGTCTGCTTTGTTTGGGTGTATTGCCTTGACTGTTCAGATCACCAGCCTGCCCTACGACTGGTCTTCTGTTGCATTTTTCTTCTGGCAATCACTTTACTTTTAATTTTTTAAATTTATTTATTTTGTAATCCTCACCTGAGGATGTTTTCCCATTGATTTTTTTTTTTTTTGCTTGAGAGAGAGAGAGAGAGAGAGAGAAACATCAATGTGAGAGAGACACATCGATCTGTTGCCTCCTGCACAACCCCAACCTGGGCCAGGGATTGAACCTGCAACCCAGGTACGTGCCCTTGACCAGGAATCGAACCCTCAAGTGCTTGGTCCTCGGGCCACAGCTCTAACTGCTGAGCCAAACCGGCCAGGGCTGACAACCACTTTTAAATGTCCACACGTTTTCTTTCTCTCTGGAGTGTTCTCAGATGGCAGCTCGGAAGTAAGCATAAACCATGGGGACAGATGCTGGTGACTTTAGGAAGAGAGTTGACAAGCCTTACTGCAGTGCTAGGTCTGGGAGTTGAGGACAAGGGAGGGATCAAATTTCTCTTTGTAGCTTACAACTGCTTGAGGCTTATTACTTAGAACTGGGAAGAAGGGTGCATTTGTTCTCACCTTTTCTGAAAGTTTGCATTGTTAATTTCAGAGCCCAACGTTCCAGATCAATTCTGAGTATTTCGCCTTGAGGTCTGTTGGCATTAAAAAAGAGAAGAAGAAAAACGGCCTTCATTTAACGGAGAGTGTCCTTTCAGCCCTGGAAGAGTTGGTCAACGTTGCTTGTGGTGAGTGGCACATTGATAAATTCGAGTGCGTTCCGCCCGAGCCTCAGGCTCCTGTGCATGATTAGAGCCCCGAAGACGATGGTAACTGGTCAATGTCTGTTTCACCAGAGGAGGTAGATGGCTGCCCTATCATTCTTGTTTGTGGATCTCAGGACGTCGGAAAGTCAACATTTAATAGGTACCTGATTAACCAGTTGTTAAACAGGTAAGAGTGTTTTTCTTGTTTTGACATGTTGATAGATTTGGGGCAGGAAGTAGGAGTTTTGATTTGAGAGACTGGATAGGAATTCCTCCTGCTTTCTAAGCAGAGACTATTTACAACTCTTACCAAGCTGCTTGGCCGAGTGGTAGCGTGGAGTGTTCTGCTGGCTGGGGCGAGGCGATGCCTCTCGGTGCACTGACCTGCTGCCAGCCTGTGCACGGAGCCGCTTGTCTCACGGTCTGGGTTTGTGCACATGCAGAGATTCACAGTGCGGATAAATTCTGCTGTCTTTTAAAGGTACAAGTTTAGGAAAGGCAAAGTTGTTCCATGTTATGAACGGACCCTGTGACCCCATCACACGTTCTCTTTATGCTTTTTTTTTACTATGGATTGAACATTCCCCCAAAAGGCCTGCCTCAAGTAGATTGCGACTGTGTCACATAAAATCTGTAAGATCTGATTTATCCTTTCAACATAGTGAAGCTAGTTAAGATTTTCTTTTAAATTTTTAGTATTCCCTGCGTTGACTATTTGGAATGTGATTTGGGACAGACAGAATTTACTCCTCCGGGTTGCATTTCTTTACTTAATATTACAGAACCAGTTCTAGGTATGTATTATGCATTTCTTAAATGTCTTGGTATTATAAAATGCGAGAGTAATGATACTTTAAAAAATTCAGAGAATATAAAAGTATAAAATATAAATGTGAACATTTCCCTGTCAAACTCATGGTCTTCCCATAAGTGTTTCTCCAGCCTCCAAAAATTCAAAAACAGTCTGGCCGGTGTGGCTCATTGGTAGAGCATTGGCCCATGCACCAAAGTGTCTTGGGTTTGATTCCCAGTCCAGGGCATGTACCTGGATTGCAGGTTCGATCCCAGACCCTGGTCAGGGCACATGCAGGAGGCAACCAGTCTGATGTGTCTTTCTCACAAGAATGTCTCTCATTAGCTGTCCCCCTCCCGTATTTACAAGTTTCTTCTCTGATGGTAAGAACTTTGGTTACATTATTCTCAATACATTTATATAGTTGCTCAGTCCCTTTGTAATTGTCCACCCCCCTAACTCTGCAGGACACTCTGTTAGCTGTGGGCCACTGCCTGAGGGGCTCTCATTAGCTCTGTCCTAGGTGGCCTTGCACCAACCACATGAACCAAGAACCTCGCCCTGCCAACAGTGTTGTCACATGGGCCTGGTCACCCGCCTGCCGAGTGTTGTGGCCTGGCTTCAACCACAGGAGATGGAAAGTGGTTTGGGCTGGACAGACTGGCGGTGTGACTAGGGAGTGTGAGCTCCCGAGGTGACTTGGCTGCCTGAGTCCAGGTCCAGCTGATGCCTGCTAGCTGTGTGACCTTGGTCAGGTTAATCTCTTTCAAGTTTCCCATCTACGAACATGTAAATAATAATACCTCACAGGGTGTGTCTTTTTTTTTATCCTCACCCAAGGACATTTTTCCATTTTTGTTCAGATAGAGTGGGAGGGAGAGAGAAGAAGAGAGAGAGAGAAACATCGATGTGAAAGGGACACATCGAGTAGATGCTTCCTGCACAACCCCAACCGGGGCTGGGGACAAACTGCAACCCAAGGTATGTGTCCTTAGCGGGAACCGAACCCAGGTCTCTCTGTACCACAGGCTGACGCTCTAACCACTGAGCCAAACCGGTCAGGGCGGGAGTCTTTTTTTTTTAAAGTATGTTTTTATTGATTTTTTTTTAAAGAGAGGGAGGGAGAGGGAGAGGTAGAAACATCGATATGAGAGAGAAACATTGATTGGCTGCCTCCTACATGCCCTGTATTGGGGATCAAGCCTGAAACCCGGCATGTGCCCAGATGGGGAATTGAACCAGGGACCTCTCAGTACGTGGGACAATGCTCAATCCACTGAGCCACACCGGTCAGGCCTCTAGGGTTCTTATGAAAATTAAAGACTGTATGTAACACACCTAGAACATAGTGCTGTTTCCCAATAAGTGACTGCTGTCGTGTTTGATCGCCCATTCATTACAACGTGAGCCCTAAATGATGGAGACATTTGCTTTGTTCACAAATATGTCCAGCGTGTAGTAGGTCCTCAGTAAATGTTTCTTGAGTGAATGGCCTTATTAGGACATGATTGGGGTCAACTGTGAGGGTGACAGTGAGCATGTCTTTGTGTGAGGTTGAAAGCCTAGAGTTCCAGAAATGGGAGTACATCTCTTCCTAGTGGTAGGATGTTCTCAGATTTTCTAAGGATCTTTGTCAGCGATGATGGTTGACCTTGCCACTATTTAAGTGGTCAAGGATTTATTGCTTTTTTTTTCTATCTTTTTAGGACCACCTTTCACCCACCAGAGGACACCACAGAAAATGGTCTATTTTGGGAAATCTGCTTGTAAAAACAACTATGAGAATTACATTGAGATAATAAAGTATGTGTTCAGTTCCTACAAGAGAGAGGCCCCTCTTATTGTCAACACAATGGGCTGGGTGACAGGTAAGCCCACAGAGGCACAGCCGGAGGAAAGGACGGGCAGGGGGAGTACGCTGTTGGCTTCTAGGCGTTGTGGCTGGGGCCCCGTTTTTAGGAGGTTCTCCTGGGCGATCCCTGCTCTGCCTCAGAATACCACAGTGTCGTCTGGTGCGTTGACTGCTAACATCGTCTCCTCCCACGCAGACCAGGGGCTTCTGCTTCTCGTCGACCTGATCCGACTGCTGTCGCCCAGCCACGTCGTTCAGTTCAGTTCTGGCCGGAGCAGAGCCATGCCAGACCTCACCCCTGCCTACGTAGATGACCTGGATGGCTTGTACACAAAAAGCAAGTCCAAAGTCAGAAACCGAGGTTTCTACCTGGCAGAATTTGCAGAGAATTTGGAATTTGGTGACGAAGAGAAGGAGAGTCCGGTTGCATTTACTGGATATAAGCTGTTGTGTGTCCAATCAGACTTTGCATTTAGGAAAACTCCAAGAAATAGGTAAATAAACCGTCATGTCTGGAGAATTCATTGTTCTTCGGTTTAACAAGGCCTTCTGTTCTCAATTCTTTAAAAGAAAATGTTTTTTTCTTTATTGATGTTAGGGAGAGAGAGATAGAAACATCGATGAGAGGGAACATCAATTGATCACCTCCTGCACACCCCCCACTGGGGATTTGGCCCACAACTTGGGCATGTGCCCTGACCGGGAATGGACCTCTTGTTGCATGGGTCGATGCTCAACCCCTGAGCCACACCAGCTGGGCGTGTTCTTACTTCCTTAAAAGCAGTAAGTCCTCTAAAACTTCCCAGGTCTCCAGCGCAGCTTTGTGCATGTGAGAGAACCAGCTGCTCCCCAGTGGGAACGTCCAGCGTGGTCTTCAGCTCTGGTCGCCAGGAGCTGTGACCGGAAGGGGAGCCTTTCCACTTCCTGTTCTCCCGTCGGGTTACAGGAAGGCAGGGCGTGCAGACTCTCCGGTGTAAATGCAGTCTGTGTAACGACAAGGGTGCTCTGTTTGGGGCGTGGGGGACTGTAAGGGGAAATCTGTACCTCCTCCTGGTTTACTTTTCAGGGAGTCACATAACAGAGTTTTTCGTGACTTGGCGGTGTTGAGTTACCTCAGCCAGCTGCAGCCCCCCGTGCCGAAGCCTCTTCGTCCCCTACATGGCCTGACACCCTATCAGGTAAGACCGCACTTGGTCAGGGAGCGGCCGTGCTCTGTCCACTTAGCACACACTTCGCTGGCTCCTGTGCCGAGCACTCTTCTGGCCACTTCCTGACTCCTCGTGTAACCCCCAGAACCGCCCACGCTGTGGGTTCGGTGACGGTCACCCAGCAGAGTGGCAGAGCTGGCGTCAGACTGGGCAGTCGGGCCCCAGGGTCTGCTGCTCACTGCTGTGCTCTGCTGTCTTGGGCACATCTCTGGTTCCGTGCAGGTAGGAATGTCCTGCCTCACCCCAGAGCTGGCCCTGGGGTCCGCCCAGGGCGTCTGGCTCCAGCACTCGCTCCGAGCTGTGTGTGGCTCGGCTGTCGTCTGGGGAGCGGAGGCAGCACTGGCCTGGCGCAGTGGCTGTGCGGAGCCGGGGGTTCACGGGGTGCCTGGCCCCAGAGCACTCTTCAAGCCTCTCGTAGTTCATTATTTTAATCTTCACCCGAGGATACTTTTCCATTTATCTTCAGATAGAGTGGGAGGAAGAGAGAAAAACATCTATGTGAGAGAGACACATGGACTGGTTGCCTCCCGCACGACCCCGACCAGGGCTGGGGACCGAACCAAAACCAAAGTACATGCCCTTGACTGGAATTGAACCCGCAACTCATTTGTCCTTGGGCCGACGCTCTAACTGCTGAGCCACACTGGCCAGGGCAGAGCCTCTCACGTGCTGTGAAAGTAGATTCTGGCACTGGAGTGTTTGCATCGGGAGCCAAACTCTTAAGAATTATTTTGGAAAGAAATCACCTTAATATTAGGATTCCAAGTGATGAAAGAACAAAATAGCAACAGGTAGCATTTCTTAAGTGCTTACTCTGTGCCGTGCTCTGCTCTAAGCCTATGCTTACTCCTTGACTCACAAAGGCCCTCTCATAACCCCGTTACAGATGATAGGACAGAGGCCAGGGACGTCGAGTCAGCTGCCCCAAGGGGCATAGTCAAACTTTGGGCGGGGACTGTGGCCTAGGCAGCCCGACTCCAGGGCCAGAGCTCTCACCTCGCTGCGCGGCCTGCCCGGCGCTGAGCCTTGCTGTGTGCCAGGTGCTCTGCTGTCTTGGTGCAGAGTGGCACCTGTTTCCAGCTTAGAGAACTGGGCACAGTCAGGTGGAGGAGACACAGGCCTGAGGTCATGCAGGCATGAGCAGTGGGCCTGGCAGCAAGGAGGCGCCTCTCGCCCTGGAGGTGAGGTTGGCTCAGACCTTCTGTTGCCTCCACCAGAGAATGAGTCGGTTTGGTCGGTGGAGTTGGCTGATCTAGAGATGCTGCATAACTGAATTTGGAACTTACCTGCCAGTTGTTTGTTTGTTTGTTTTTCTTTATTGATTTAAGAGAGTGAGGAAAGGAGAGAGAGAAACATTGATGTAAAAGAGAAACATCCACCAGCTGCCTCCTGCACGCCCCCTACTGGGTTTGAGCTCACAGCCCCGGCATGTGCCCTGACCAGGAATCGAACAGGGACCTCTCAGCCCGTGGGCCGATGCTCAATCCACTGAGCCACGCCAGCCGGGTTGGGCCATCTTTCTTAACTCAGTGTATTACATTAGGGAACGATTGGCAGCTGTTTGTCACTGAGTGGATTCGGACCTGCTTACATTAGAGACCTCGGTGAACGAGGTCTTCACGGTCTCCCTCGACTAACTCCTTGGAGATATCTGCAGGCTGTGTCGTGCATGTCTTTTTAGACAAGCAAATTCTAGGCATTAAGTTTAGATTCTAGCAAGTGTGGATGATGCACAAGAACTTGGTGTAAATTTCTTAGGTTCTCTGTCTTAAAGCAGTGTGTGGAACTGAGCAAATGTTGGCTGGCGTTTCTGTTTTTTTTATTCATTTATTTATTTATTCTCACCTGAGGACATTTTTTGCATTTATTTTCAGATAGAGTGGGAGGGAGAGAGGGAGGAAGAGAGAGCGAAACTTCGATGTGAGAGACACATTGACTGTCCACCGCCCACACGACCCCAACCGGGGCTGGGGACAAATTGCAACCGAGTACATGCCCTTAGCAGGAACCAAACCCAGGCCTCTCTGGTCCGCGGGCCAACGCTCTAAACTGGCCAGGGCTTCGTTCTTTTTAGATGTATTTTGGTGGGCTGTTTGGCAGACATAACTTCAGATAGCTGGCTAGTCATCTGATAAAAATTGAAAGTAGTTTCTCAGTTAGAATTAATAGAGGAGCCCTGGCTGGTTTTCAGTGGTTAGAACATCAGCCTTTGAACCAAAGAGTTGTTCGATTCCGGTCAAGGGCACCTACCTGAGTTTCAGGTTTGATCCCTGGCCCTGGTCCGGGTTGTGAGGAGGCAACCAATCGATGTGTCTCCCACAACGATGTTTTTTTTCTCTCTCTCTCCCTCCCTCCCTCCCTCCCACTCTATCTAAAATATCAATGGGGAAAATGTCCTCGGGTGAGGATTAAAAAAAAAGTTACTAGAGGGAGGTGGCGGGGTGGTAAAGGGTAAAGGGGACCCTGTCTGTGGTGATGGCAGAAGATTGGACTCTGGGTGGTGAGCACACTGCAGTAGACAGAGGGTGTGTCATGGAATTGTGTACTTGAGACCGACACGATCATATTAACCAGTGTCACTCCAAAAAATGTAAGAGAACTGATGGAGGAAAGTGCACATGTGTCCAGGTCCCTTTCAGTGCTGTTGCCCTCCGGGTCACCCACTCCGACGTCGCGCCCACCCACGTGCTGTACGCGGTGAACGCCAGCTGGGTCGGCCTTTGCAGGATCCTGGACGACGTCAGAGGATATGCCAGTGGGCCCGTCCTGCTCGCCCAGACTCCGGTCTGTGACTGTCTCGGCTTTGGTGAGTGAGCGAGTGCGTGTCTGTGAACCCACTGCAGTTACCCACTCCCCTTGTAGCTGGCTGCTCGACCTCGCGGCTGTCTTGGCTGGAGTGGCCAAAGGGTTTCTGTGTCCAAGTCCTGTAGGCCTGTTTCTGTAGTGTGGTGCTTATGTTCGCCTGACAAGTACTGTGGGCCTTGGGCAGGCAGGAAGCAGCTCTTCCTTTGCGCCTCCTGCCATCTCCTCCAAAACCAGGATCCCTACGGGCCTGGCGACGGCCTTCTCACTTGATGTATTTCTCCAGCCCACGTCACCCACGCTGGGGCGGGAGATCCACCTTCACGCTGACTCCCCGTGGGCTCTCCAGCCCCGTCGTGCATCTGAGCCCCCAGCCCACGTCAGCCACGCTGGGGCGGGAGATCCACCTTCACGCTGACTCCCTGTGGGCTCTCCAGCCCAGTCGTGCATCTGAGCCCCCAGCCCACGACACCCACGCTGGGGCGGGAAAGCCACCTTCACACTGACTCCCCGTGGGCTCTCCAGCCCCGTCGTGCATCTGAGCCCCCAGCCCACGACACCCACGCTGGGGCGGGAAAGCCACCTTCACACTGACTCCCCGTGGGCTCTCCAGCCCCGTCGTGCATCTGAGCCCCCAGCCCACGACACCCACGCTGGGGCGGGAAAGCCACCTTCACGCTGACTCCCCGTGGGCTCTCCAGCCCCGTCGTGCATCTGAGCCCCCAGCCCACGTCAGCCACGCTGGGGCGGGAGATCCACCTTCACGCTGACTCCCCGTGGGCTCTCCAGCCCCGTCGTGCATCTGAGCCCCCAGCCCACGACACCCACGCTGGGGCGGGAAAGCCACCTTCACGCTGACTCCCCGTGGGCTCTCCAGCCCAGTCGTGCATCTGAGCTCCCAGCCCACGACACCCACACTGGGGCGGGAAAGCCACCTTCACGCTGACTTCCCGTGGGCTCTCCAGCCCCGTCGTGCATCTGAGCTCCCAGCCCACGACACCCACACTGGGGCGGGAAAGCTACCTTCACGCTGACTTCCCGTGGGCTCTCCAGCCCCGTCGTGCATCTGAGCCCCCAGCCCACGTCAGCCACGCTGGGGCGGGAGATCCACCTTCACGCTGACTTCCCGTGGGCTCTCCAGCTTACGTCACCGTGCACGTCTCTGCTTGGTGTCTCACTGCACACAAGTCTGAGGTCCTGATGGGTCTATGCTCCTGATACTGTCCCTGTGTCCCCTCCTCCCACCCCATTCCACCTTCTGTTCCCGCAGGTCCTTCACATGGTCCTTTAAGGGTCCACTCTGGTGTTTGGCCAGACCACTGGGTCCTTGGCAACCCCTTGCCTTTGTCCTCCACATCCGCCCACCGACAGGCCAGGTGGCTTCTGTTTCTGAAACACGTCAGATCCTCCCCCTCGTACTCTCACGTGCCAGTGTGAGCATTGTCGTTTCTGCCCTGGACCCCGGAAACCCTCCTGCGTGGATGAGCCACAGGGTCACAGCCTGACCTCCCCACGTGGCTGTTGCACAGGCCCAGCACCTGGCCTGGGCTTGGCAGCACTTGGCATCTTTGGGCCCCTGTCTCTGCTGCCAGCCCACTGAAGGTGATTGTCCCTTGGCTCGTAAGGTCAGTAAGCATCAGCGAGCCCTGGCCCGTTTGGCTCAGTGGTTAGAGCGTCGGCCCACGGACCAGAGAGTCCCAGGTTCGGTTCCCGCTAAGGGCACGTACCTCGGTTGCAGTTTGTCCCCAGCCCCGGTTGGGGTCGTGCAGATGGCAACCAGTCGATGTGTCTCTCTCACATTGATGTTTCTTTCTCTCTCTCTCTTTCCCCTTCTCTCCCTCCTGCTCTATCTGAAGATAAATGCAAAAATGTCCTCAGGTGAGGATAAAAAAAAAACACGTCAGTGAATGTTTCTGTAAGGGTGACCCAGAATCAGCGAGATCCTCAGCTAATTACACATTTCTGATTTATATACTACTGTACTTCTCAAAAGCGTTTCCTACAGACCACAAAGAAGGAATGGGTGATGGGAAAGGTTGAGTCATTTCTGTGTCCCCCTAGACTGCCACCTGTGTGAACCACAGGTAAGACAGTCTAGGACTTTGGCATTAAGACCACTTGGTGCCTCACAGCTGAATGAGGAGAGGCTGCCAAGTCTGATACTCACATATTCCATCTCTTGCTACTTTGTGTTGTCAAAGCAAAGCCCAGGAGAAATTGAACTCCCATTTGAAAAGCCACCTGCAGTCCGGAGTGCTGGGAAGGGCTGCAGGGTGGGTGATGGTGTGCTCTGTGTGTCTTCCAGGGATTTGCAGAGGGATCGACATGGAGAAGAGGCTCTACCACATCCTGACGCCGGTGGCCCCGGAAGAGCTGAGAAACGTCAATTGTCTGCTGGTCGGAGCCATTTCCATTCCGCACTGTGTCCTCAAGAGCCAGGTGAGTGGCTCCCAGGGACAGCTGGCCATGGACACAGTAGAGCGTGAGGTCCTGAAATCGGGACAAGAGTCCTCGGGCAGGTTATCGGTGGGAAACTTACACTTTGTTGTAGAGGCTGCAGGAGGCCAGGTGAGTGAGGCCAGGCCGGGACGGCCATCGCTCCTGCTCCAGAGCCCCACGGGAGGGCCGTCTCCCAGGAGCTGTGGGAGAAGGGAGCAGAGGGGGTGCTCTCCTGGGGCTGAGGGTGTTCTCGAGTGTGCCCGTGGGAAGGGCACGGGAAGGTCATGTTGGCCAGGAGCACATCCGTGTGGCCCCTGAGCCAAACTAGGGTCTATGGGGGGCCTGGCTGTCCCTCCCCTTAGCAGCTTGTTTGAGAGGGACACTCCCACACTTACCTGCTCAAGCTGTTGGATGAGCCTGACCTGAACAGTCTTCCGGGGGAGGATTGGGTGGATTTGGAGCGCTTCCACGTGTGCTCTGTTTCTGTTTCAGCGTGGGCTCGAGGGCATGATACCTTACGTCACGACAGATTATAATACTAGACTTCCGGGAGCATCACGGGAAATTGGAGCAAGAGAAGCCGAGGAAATTCGTAAAGAGAAACAACACCCAAAAGCTAAGTTCTACCGAAAAGCAAACTGATGTTTTCAACGAGGGAAGAAAGCTTGACTCTGCCCCCAGCCGGACCGCAGCGGACTGACGGGTGCCGTGCTCCGAGGCTGTGGGAGTTCCAGTCGGTCTCAGTGCCGTCGTGAAGCTGCGTGGCCTGGTGTGCCCTCGTCTGCTGTGTGGCTCGTCGTGCGCGATGTTGTTTCCTAAGGGATAAAGCAGAGGGAAAAGGTGCGCCATTCAAACAGAATGCGGTCGATTCCTCGAAGCTCTTCAAGGACCTGGTTGTTGAAATCTGGATAAAAACTAGTGCACTTGCCCTGGCCGGTTCTTCTCAATGATTAGAATGTCGGCCCACAGAGAGTTGTGGGTTCAATTCCGGTCAAGGGCATGTTAACCTCTGTTGGGGTTCGGTCCTGGCCCCGGTCAGGGTCACATGGGAGGCAGCCAGTCGATGTGTCTTTCTCACATCGATGTTTCTTCCTCTCTCTCTTCTCCCCCCCCACCCTCCATCTGAAGATAAAGGAAAAATATCCTCGGGTAAGGATTAAAAAAATAATAATGAGTCTGGGGGCCACAAAAATATATACCAAGAAGGAAGGCAGGCTGGCTAGTGGGGTCCGAGCACAGCAGGATGCGGAGACGCAGCTTGGTCCTCACCCGTGGTGGCGCAGGGCAGGGGGCCCGCTGGTGGGGGTGCCTGGGGCGGCCCTGATCATGTGATCCTGCCCACCTCCTCTGTCCCTGGGCTCAAGCGCCAACAGATCGAGCTCACTCTTTCGATTATCAAGGTTCAACAGACAAAAGGTTGGACTCAAGAAGCCGCCTTTATTTAATCCAATGGTTTTATGCTGAAAGTTTTTCTCTCAAATTCAGGAAACCTCTCCTGGAGCCTCTTTAGAAATTTGCCCTAATTGACTTTTCCTGAGACTTGAAGACACAGCCCGAGCAGAGCTGGGCACGAGGCTGTTGGAGAGGCAGGGCAGCTCCGGGACGGGCCCGTTCCTGCCTTCAGTGACGGCCTGACCTTGTACCTGTGATAGCTCAGGGCTGTCGAGCCCCCTGGGGTCGGGAGGCTAGTGATGGTGCCGTTCCCCCAGATGGAAACCTCTTCCTCTCCCGGTGCTCAAGTCCCTCGTCCTCCGCGGCCGGGGAGCGCGGGCTGTCATGGTACTTACTGAGACAGCATTTCAACCTGTCTTGTGAATTTCAGCTTCCTAGCTGATCATGCTAAAGGAGGTTATTAGGATTTGCAGGCTTAACATCTGTATTCGTGTAAATCACTGGCTATCGATGTCTTGAAGTACTCGGCATCTCCTAGGGCCACAGATATGCAAATTCTCCCAGGAACCCTGGTCACTCCAGGGTGAATTTTAATATTCTAGAGACCATTTAAGGTCTAACTTCTTTGTTGCCTCTTATTTATGTTTAGGTTTACCTTATATACATTTTTGTATTTTGGCTTTGCAAAGAATGTTGAGACAATCCACCACCGTCACCGTTCTGCCTCCTTCCCCAGTTCCTGTGTCTATAATACCGCTCTCTGTAGGCGAGTCTCAGAACGCAAGTGCTGCCCGCCTTTAGCCTAACCTTTTGCCGGTGTTTAAGGATAAGTTCTTCAGTCCCCAACTGTAAAGAAAACAAACGTTGCCACTAGAGGGAGTTGTCAGCCACGGTCAGAGGGCCAGACCCTCAAGAGTTGGCCACAGAACCTTTCTCAGGACTCAGAGGTCCCTGGCTCTGTGGTCAGCTCCAGGGTGTGCCGGTCAGACCCGCAACAGTGCCGTCGACCTTGGATGTCCGTTTGATCGTAAATGTTGACCGTTTGGGCGTGTTATTTCGAGTCTTGTGGTTCAGGGTGAGTAGGAATGAGTCTGCATCTGCATTGGAGCTCTTAATCATTTGTGTCTGTGATTTGCGAAGTAGTACATGCTTAAGAAAATTAAAGAAATATGTGACTTAGAATGTGAAAACTCTTAGTTGCCAATTTTGTGATTCTTTGAAGTTGGTTCTTTTGAGGAGATCCTTTTATAGGAAAGGTAGATACAAAAATAAATGTCAAAATTCTCGAATTCTAGGGTTCATTTTAGTTTATAAACAAGGACAGTTCCGTTGTTCCTCCTGAACCATTAGGCCTGGGTGCAGCAGTCAGTGCACCCTCGGAGACCCTGGCCCGGAAGCGGAAGACTGGAGAAGGCGGGGCAGTGAGCTCAGCCTTCAGGTGCTTCGGGTTGGGATGTTCGGGTTGGGATGTTCGAGAGATGGAATCTGCCGGGAGCTTGGGGGGGGGCAGCAGGCCTAGTGAGGCCCCAGGCTGAGCAGAGGCCAGCCCCTCCACAGAGATCCTTTGACAGGCGGTTACTTACCCTGCCGGACACACTGCTTTGTGCCCAACAGATGGTGTGGGGACCAAACGACGCAGGTGCAAGGTTCCTTTGTACCAAAGAGTGAATAAGAAATTGATGGAGGAGGTTTTCCTACTTGGAAGTGGCAGTGCAGTGGGTGAGCCAGCAAGCTTTGGCGTCAGGGCTCTGAGCTCGAGTCCGGCATGGACCGCTGGCTAGCAGCATGGCTATGAGGGAGACATCCGCCCGAGCCTGCTCCCCGTTCAGGGTGGGGTGAAGCTCTTCGCTGGGGTCCCTGCGTGCGCTGCGCGATGCCCTAAGGCGAGCGGCGGCTCAGTGCGGCCCGTCTGGTTAGACTGCAAGCTCCTAGGAGCCAGGGACCGAGGCAACGGCTCGCAGTCTGCTGTGTCCAAGCAGACGGTGCTGGGGTCAGATCTGCCGGCCCCTCCTCTGGGCAGGTCACCTCGAAACCGTTCTTCCAGCTAGAGAGCTCCGGAGAACAGTTTCGTGGCCCCCGCGAAGGACCCGTTCCTGGGGTTGTTCCCAAACCTCCCTGTAGCGCTTTTGAACGTGTATGAACAGTAGACACGTTTAGAAAATGATCAAATCCGCCGCCGCACGGATAATCACTGTTACCGCCGTGATGCTGTCTCGTCTGGTATGTTTCTGAACTGCGTGTGGGTTTTTTTACAACATTGGTGTCCTGTGTATGTGTGGTTTTCTATCCAGCTCTTTTCACTTAACATTTTTTGTATCATTAAATATTTTTGAGAACATGAATTGGTGTACTTTCATTACGTATGTAGACCGTTTTATTCCAGGAAATGATTTCAGTATTTAGGAGAAGTGATGGCAGAAACACTGGGTAAACTAGAACGCGGGCCGGGGGTTCATGGAATCGGGGTGCCCTAGCAGGGAGACAGGGAGCCCACTTCGCTACTGAACACGGTTAACTTTTCTGTTCGGGCCCAAGAATGTAGTTTGAGAGAGGATACAATAGCCTTTCTGGACTGTCTCTGAGTGTATCAGGAGAAAGAAAATTTTGCTCCCAGAAAAGTTCAAATTAAGAAAGAAAGAAAAAATAGCCTGTAGCTGCCTTTCAGCAAGTGGGAGCTCAGCTGGGTCCCCACTCCCACTCCCAGGGCTGGGCCTGGCCGCAGAAACGAGGCTTGGCTGACGAGCTGAGCCTGAACAGTGGCTAAAATAAATATGGGGGCCATCTGTGCCGCGAGGGGAGAAGCCACGTGACGTTCGGGGCCTCTGCTGAAGGGCTCTGCGAGGCTAAAGATTTCCAGGGTTTTGCCAGGAACGGGGGCAGAGAGTGTGCTGGGGCGGGGGGCAGTCTGAAAGGAGCCGCACTTGGACCTGAGGGAGCAGCAGGTCCGCAGGGGGTGCTGGAGCTGAGTAAGCAAACAGCTGAGCCGCAGACAATGTGCCGGGCTGGGAAGCCACGGGTTGCCATGGTGACTGGCTCTGATGCCACTGTCGTGCTCAGCAGACTGTGGCTGGGTTTCTCTAGCACTTTGGAACTGTCTTGCTCTCCCTGGTGAACGTCTGCTGGGCAGGGAGAAGCCGGCAGACCTCCAGGCGCTCCTCCCAAGGCGGCTAACGGGGGCTGTTGCCGGGACTGCAGAAACCAGGGTCTTCGTGGCACCCGTTCCGGGAAGGGACTGGACGCCGAGGCGGCCCGCAGCGTGAGAAGTCTGCTCCAGGGAGCGAATGGGTACTGGGGAATGGAAAATCCAAGGGGAGCAAACCACCAGCAGGGAAACAGTGCAAACCGCGGCCACGGAGTCCATACGTTAAAGTATACGGCGCCCAGGGGGCCTGCCTTGGAGGGAAGCAAATTGGCTGGGTTGAGAGCTCCGTGGTTTTCTGTGCAGACGGATTCAGCTGGAGAATTTGAGGTTGGGGCTGAGTCTGGGAGAAGCCCTCCAGTGTGGGGGCTGCAGCTGGGCAGAGAGGGACGCAGACCTGTGGGCCTGGCACGTGGCCCCCGAGGTCGAGCATGAATCCAGCCCTGACAAAGTGCGGGTCTCCACCTCGCAGTTGGCTAAGCCTTCGTCTGGGAACCAGTAAGTATGTTTTCTCCCTCTTCTGTCCAGGGAGGAGGGTGGACCACACGGAGCCAGGAAAGGAGACTTTGGGGGTCCTGGAGGGGCCACTGAGATCCCATGCTTGCTGAATTAGACGCTGTCAGAAGCCCCCCTGCAGGCTGAGACCGGTCTGTCCGCACTGATTGGAGAGTTCATGCAAGTGTGGAAGCCAGGGTCGCCCAGCCCAGTGAGGGTTAGCCCTCAGTCCTGACTCGAGGTGGAGGGGACGCCTGTCTCCTGAGCAGGGAGACTCCTTCCGGCCGTCCCACCCCGGAGAGAAGGCAGCTCTGCAGGCAGGTGAAGGGGGCGTGGTGGGGAAGAGCCCGAGACCCTTCACATTGTCCCGTTCTGTGGGTTACAGTGGTGTCCCCATTGCGAGGATGGGGACAGGGTCTCAACTTGGCCTTTGTAGCTGTTTTAAAAAGGGCCATGAGATTCCTCCCAGCTGTCAATATTTTTAAGGTCACTGTTGCCAGATGTCATGACGCGTTTTGGGAGCGTGGAATCAGCAACAGTGGTCGTGGAATCAAAGCCTCCAGCGCCCCGGAGTCAGAGCCCTGGCCCCGAACACCCCATCCCTAGCCACAGAGCCACGGCCTGGGGCATGTTGGCCACTGACCTCGGGGCTCAAATAAACGCCCCCATTCTCATCTTTATCTGCACCCCATCTGTGGCTGGCCCGACAGATCTAGGAAGCTGACTGAGTCAGGGAGACTTCCTCCAGCACCCGCACAGGCCCCTCATTGCAGGGTTATCCCCTCCCAGGGAGGGGGTGCGCTGCTGACCTTCCTGTGGCTCCCCTGCCACACTGGGGTCCGCTGGGAGTGGCAAACAATGTGCCGTCCAC